AGTTTTCTTTTAGGAAATACTTTAAATTTAAAAATCAATTTTTTTTTTAACATACAGCTACTTAGGTTTTCTTTTTCTCATTGTAATAAATTAAGTTCTATTTTTCAAGAAATTTATCCATTTCATCTAAGTTGCCAAAGTGATTCATAGTATTTCACAGGGTTTTTTGTTTTGTTTTTTTAATATCTGTAGGATTGATAGACATATTTCATTTTTATTCCTGATATCCATAATAGGAGTTTTCTCTGCTTTTGTTTTGATTGTCTTATGAATATTTTCACTATATAATTAATATAAAATATTGTGCAACTTATTCCAACTTTCAAGATTTTTTAGCTCCTAAACTATTGTTATAAATTCTTTTGAAATTATGTTATACTAAATTTAATTAATGTTTCCACTGAAGATATGCAAAGACTTAATAGAGCAGGCAGGCACTTGCATCTTAGAGATGAGAGATGACTCAAATAGACAGGACTGCACTGGCTAGTTATTGGCATTTGCCACAAACTTATCATTCTATAAAAAAGAATTAGAAAAACAGTAAATTATTCCTGACTTGGATAAATTCAAATTCTATTGAACAAAAATTTATTTAATTATGAACCAATTCTGAACCCTGAATCTGAAATCCATTGTGGATTAAAATAAAACATATTTTTCTAATGCTAATGTAAAGGGTAAAACGTGAAGACTATCTGAATAAAAACAAAATCTTGAACCATATTTCAAGACCCAAGGAATATGGCATGTGTTGAAAAGTTAATAGTTATAAGATAATTTCAACAAAAAAAAAAAAGAAAAGAGATTTGATAAAATACTAAAATAATGACCTTGACAAATATTATAAAACTAGAGGCGCAGTGCACGAAATTCGTGCATGGGGCCGGTGGGGGCGTGGCGGTGTCCCTCAGCCCAGCCTGCACTCTCTCCAATCTGGGACCCCTCTAGGGATCCCACTGGGATCAGGCCTAAATGGGCAGTCAGACATCCCTCTCATAATCCAGGACTACTGGCTCCCAACTGCTCGCCTGCCTGCCCTCCTGATTGCCCCTAACCTCTTCTGCCTGCCAGCCTGATCACCCCCTAACTACTCCCATGCCAGCCTGATTTGATATCTAACTGCTCCCCTGCCAGCCTCTCTGCCCCATAACTTCCTTCCTCTGCCAGACTAGTCACCCCTAACTGCCCTCCCCTGCAGGGTTGATCGCCTCCAACTGCCCTTCCTTGCAGACCTGGTCCCTCTCAACTGCCCTCCCTTGCAGGCATGGTGCCTCCCAATTGCCCTTCCCTGCTAGCCATCTTGTGATGGCCATCTTTTGTCCACCTGGGGGCAGGATTTTTGACCACATGGGGGAAGCTATTGTGTATTGGAGTGATGGTCAATCTGCATATTACTCTTTTATTAGATAGGATAGAGGCCTAGTGCATGGGTGAGGGCCAGCTGGTTTGTCCAGAAGGGTGTCCTGGATCAGGGTGGGTGTTCCCTTGGGGCATGGGACAGCCCGAGTGAGGGGGCTGTGATGGTTTGCAGGCCGGCTACATCCCTTGGAGTCCCAAGTGGAGGCCCTGGTATCTGGGTTTATGTATCTTTTACAATTGAAATTTTGTGGCCTAGAGCGGAGCCAAGCCTACTGCTTGCTCCATAGCTGCTGCCATTTCTGTTTGGATTTGTTTACCTTCTATAATTGAAACTTTGTAGCCTGGAGTGGAGGCTTAGGCTGGCAAGGGCAGGCACAAAGCTTGGCTTCCTCCATTGCCAGAGAAACCCAATCCTCCGTGGCTGTAGCCATCTTGGTTGGGTTTATTTGCATACTCGCTCTGAATGACTGGTGGGTGTGACTCGTGGGCATGGCTGGTGGGTGTAACAGGGTGGTGGTTAATTTGCATATTTCTCTTTTATTAGGTAGGATATTTCCACAGTATACAGTGAAACCTACACATTACCTTTATAAATTATATCCTCACTTATGTAAATCTAGAGGCCCATTGCAGGAAGATTCCTGCAATAGGGCTTCCTGCAGTGGTTGCTGCCCCACTTGCTTCCCTTCCTTCTCCTTGGACCTGCTTGCTTGCTTCTCCGCAGCTTTGCTCCCTTCAGAAGCACTTGGCGTTTGGCTTCTTTCTACACTGTCTTCAGTCTTTGCTCTGGCCTGGATATCCAAATTAACCACCATCTTGGTTGAGTTCATTTGCATACCCACCCTGATTGGCTGGTGGGCGGGGCTTGTGGGTATAGAAAAGGTGCAGTCAATTTGCATGTTTCTCTTTTATTAGGTAAAATGTTTGCATTAAGCACAAAGACAATAAAAATCACAAGGCCAATCAAAAAGAGGGAAAGAGCCTATCTAGTGTGGCTTAAAGGTTGAGTTATGACCTATGGAGGGCACTGTTCAATTCCCAGTCAAGACATATGTTTGCATTTCGGGTTCAATCACCAGTGTGGGGTGTACAGGAAACATCCTATCAATGATACTTCCTCATCATTGCTGTTCCTATCTCTCCTTTCCTTTCTGAAATCAATAAAAATATATTTTTAAAAAAGAGGAAAAAGAATCTTTTTAATAAACGACAATACAAAGTCACAAACTTACACTTTGTAACATGGATTTTGTCCAAAAATGGATTATAGGACACCTATCAGTATGGCTAAAAAAAATTTTTTTAATAATAATACCAAATGTTAGTAAGGGAAAAAATGTCAGTAAGGATGCAAAGAAACTAGTCCAATCATGTATTTCTAACAAAAACATTGGACATTATTAGCCAGTAGGGAAATGCTAATTAAAACTACAATGAGATGTCACTACATACCTATCAGAATGACTAAAATATGGTGAAAAGAAAATGTAGAATGGTGGGGCTCTCAAGAAAACTAACATGTCAGACAATATCTAACTCAATAATTGTACTCCTGGGCATTTATCTTAGAGACATGAAAACCTATGTTCCATAACACAAAAAGCAGCTTCATTGTAATCACTGTAAGCTGGAAACAAGCCAGATGCCATTCAATGGGTGAATACTTAAAAAATTGATAAATCTATACCTTGGAGTACTACTCAGAAATACAAACAAGTGAGCTACTGATACACACAACTTGGATAAATCTATAGACAATTATGCTGAGTGAAAAAAGCCAATTCCATAAGGTTGCATATTGTATGATTCCATTCTTACATCATTCTTTAAAAGACAAAATAAGAAATACAAAGAATTAAGGAATTAAAGGGATAGAGCAGGGGTAAAATGATTGTGGTTATCAACAGGCAACAGAGGAATCCTTATAGTGGTAGAACAGGTCTGTACCTTGGCTCTGCCAATGTCAACATTCTAATAGTGATGCTGTAGAATAGCTTTGCAAGAAGTTACAGTGCACTTTGGGTGGTGGGCACACGGTGCAGTATCCAGACCTTGCAAAATAGAAACCCACACCTGAAACCTATATGACTTGACCAATGTTTCCTCAATAAATTTAATTCTTTAAGAAAGATGTTACATTGCAGAAGAGTGACTGAAGGGCACACAAGATCCCATCTGCTGCTCTAATGCAATTTTATTACTAAAAATGTTGAAAGAGAAAAATTGCTGTAATTTCAGAAACTATTGATATAAAAATCATGGAATTAAGTGGGGAAAAAGGAGACATATGTAAAACGTTAGACAATAAGTTTTTAAAAATCGTGGAGTTAAAATACTCATCTTTCTACCTTAATAATTTCATTTCACAAAATATAATGCCTGGATACTATTCTTCCAAGGGTATTTGCTATTGTTTTCACATTATAATAATTATAATCTATATTTTGAATATATAATATGGTATTAAAGGTATAGAGTGAAAAATATATCTTCTCAACCTTTCACCCCAGCATAACCAGCACCCCACATATATTCCCTTAAGGCACCAAAGTTCTCTACAGATATTTGTATATTGAAGATAACAGGTATATTCAAATTAATGTGCTTTTTCCTCACATACCCAACCTATTTCATCTTTTATACATGTTACTATAACATGCTATTTGGAGAAAACCCATGTTACAAATAATATTCACAGTTCTGCATCTTGATTTTTCACTCAAAAAGTCTTCAAAAACTTTTGCTCTAATAGCATGTTTTTCTTTTTTTAAGAGGTTATAAAGATGGTTCACGGTATGAGTATATCCTATAATTTGTTCAATTCTGATCATTTGCTACAATGTTCACGCAACTAACTTTGTTCTACAGAGTTACTTTGTATTACCTGGTATGGGCATATCTGTAGAATAAATTCCTAGAAATGGAATTGCTTGATCAAAGGGTATGTGCTTTTATAGTGATATAATATTGGTAAATATTGCCCTTTATAACAGCTGTCTCAATGTGCACTACCACAAGCAATGTGAAGTGCCTGTTTCCCTCTGACCTCGTCAGTGAGTAATCTTTTTTACCTTACCAGTCTGATAGATGTAAAGCTCCCAGGGTAAGCATTCTACTCAAAGATAATAATCCATTAATCTTATGTGAAAGGACACATTAGTAATCACGAAGAAATGAAGTGACCTTTAAGACTGAAAACAGCTCTATCCTATATCAAGTGATATTTTGCACTTAAAAGCACTCTGCATCCCAGTATAAGAGTTTGTTTTTCACCAAGAAATATGAGAGAATCACTATTGATCAAAGTTAATTTTTAAGCAGATAAATTTTTAATTAAAATATTCACTAAATATATCTAGAAGAATAAATAGGACTTTGTTATAAGAAAAATTGGAAATAAATCTAAGATTCATGCCATATAACCTTACCTGTTTTCATGTATCAGACGATGCCTATGATTTTTGCTAATAAAGCCATCTGTTCAAAAACTATTTTAAAATCTACTGTGAATAGGAATATGTTATTATATCCAATCATGCATATGCAGGTAGATGGGATAATATATTGCAACAAAGATACATGTGGGTAAAATATGGCACTCACACTCACAAAAATGAAATCGACTACTCTGAACTTACTGAGAGCAATGCTGGTACTGTACCTTCAAGGAAAAACCAGGCTTCAGAGTACTAGTTAAGAAGCTATTACAAGTCAAGCCCAGGAGTAGGCTCTGAAGACAAGTAGGTCTGTATCAGCATCCTGCTAGTTCTGGCAGCAGGGGGCCTGGCGGGGTCAGGATCTGGGCGGGGCTGCTTGGTCAGAGAATGTCTTTGTCTGAGGCTGGACAACCGCTTCAAAAACCAAGTGCATAAAGCAAAGCCTTCAGTCCTCTGGCTTTCTGCGTAGGGAGCCACACAATGGTGGTGCAGACTAGGGCCTGGGTCTGCCTGTAAGACCTGGAAGGAAAACGGCCAGCGGGGAGAAACGGTCGCAGTCCTTTGCAGAAGCACCCAAACTGTGACGTCACCGCGCCCCCGTGCGGGCCGCGGGTCCCCCTCCAGCCTTTCCGGGTTCGGGGCGAGGAAGGAGGGAAACTGAGAGCCAGAGCCTAGGGCGGTGTACATGGCCAAGGCCGCTTCCCTGCTTAAAAGAAACTAATTCCGGGCCCGAGGCCTCTGCGACCCAGAGGGAGACAACTGTCTCAGAGACCTCCCATTCACTCTTCATTCACTCCTCCGCTCACATTATAAGGCTGGTTGGAGTGCCTTCATGAAAGGCTCTCTCAGCTCAGAATTGCCCGCTGGCCACTCGCAGACCAGCCCTGAGAATGAAACGCAGAAATGGTCTGGGTTTCCAGGCCGTCCCCCCCACCCCACCCCCACCCCTGTCATCTCCTAAAATCCCAGCACCACCACCCTCCGGGCTCACTCTCCACATCCTTGGTGCAGGGAGCGCAGGGGCAGGGCTGTGGGTCCGGGTGGCCACGTGCCCGGCGCCAGGACAGGCTCACTTTAGGGGCACGGATGGCAGCGCGCCTCGGGCCGAGGTGCTGGCTGCCGGGAGAGCGCACAGCCCGCGCGGGGCCTCTCCCGGCCTCGCCGCTCACACTCGCGGGGTCGGTTGCCAACTCACCTCGAGCCTCGGAAGCGCCTTTCTCCGCAGCGACCCTCCCGACTTGGCCCCGCCCTCGGCCAACCCAGATTTGACTTGGGAACCAGAGCCTCTCGGGGAGGCCGGGGGCAGTTTCCACCCGCGTGCTTCCTGCCCCCAACGCCCCGCTCCTCGCCGCCCGCCTCCCCGGGTGCCGGGATGGGGTGCGGGGCGCAGAGCCTGGGGGGGGGGGGGGGGGGCTCCCGCAGAGCCCGGGGTCTCCCTCCTGCCCTCACCTCCGGGCACACCGCCTCCCGGGTCCCGCACCGACTCCCCCGGCGTCCTGGCGCCCAGGGTGCCCCCTCCTCCCCACCCGGCGGTCGGAGCGTTACCGTTAGCGGGTCCAACCGGCTCCTCGTGCCGCTTCCACGTCCCACCGGAGCGGCGGGCCAGGTGGTCGGGGCCGGTGGCTGCGATGGAGGCGGAGGGAGAGGGCTGGCCGCTGCCTGGGGCGGGTCCCGGGCGGGTAGCGGGTCGCTGCCCAGAGGCTGGCACCCAGGGACTCGCCGGGCCTGCGAGCCGCTGGGAAGGAGCGCGAGATGCAGCGCGCGAGGCGAGTGTGTGGTGTGGTGTGTGTGTGTGTGTGTGTGTGTGTGTGTGTGTGTGTGTGTGTGTGAGATGGAGGCGCCCAGGAGCCGGACCCGCCCGTGTGCACGGGCTGCGGGGAGAGGAGGCTGGAGGCGGGGGCCAGAGCTCCGGGCCGGGCGCCGCCCCTCCCCGCCCCACATCCCACCGCCCCTGGATGCGGAGGCCCCTGCAGCTGCCAGGAGGTCCTCCCAGCGCTTGGGCTGGATGGACCTGGCGCGTCTGGATGGGCCAGGGAGCACGCCCCAAGGCTAAACCAAGCAAATCCCTGGCCACCAGGTCCTCCCCAGCCCGCTCCGAAAGGGTGGACACCAGTTGCCCGCCCCCACACCCCATTTTTGTCTCAGCGAGGGTAACAATAGAAAAGGCCTTACCTCTCACTTTCTGAATATTCTCTGAGAGTTGGCAATGGGACTAGAAGAAGTGAATGACTCAGGAAACCTTTTTTCCCCTAGCTTTCTCTCCAAGCCGGCTATTTATTATACATCTCTGGCAAAAGAAAGGCACTCTGGGCTTCCTCCAGCAAGCCTTGGCCTGACAGCGCTTAGGGCTTCTGGCCACCTTAGGAAAGGCTGTTTCTGGCTCTGATCCGCACCCTATCTGGCCCCTTAGCTTCCAGCACTTCTCCAAGGGGTCTCATCACAAGGTGAAGGCTGGCTTCCCTCTCTGGCAAACAAGACATAATCATAATTAAGCCATGTGGAGAATTCCTAAAATATGCATCACTGAGCACAGAGCTTAGCCTCCTTTTGAAAATGGCTGAATCTTCCCCTAAGCATGACTTATGCTCCAGAGATTAAATTTCAAATCACAACACCTAAATTTCAGGTCAGAACATTGCTACTAATCCTTAGCTTTTAAGGCATTCAAGAGAGCTTTTTCCTCAGTCTCTTTAAAATAGGTTTTTTTTAAATTAAATTTGATTTGCCCCTCCTTGCCATATGTAAAAAATACTCTGATTGCTGTCCCACTGAAATAAAATAAGTGTCAATAAACTATTTTCAGAATATCATGCATAATTTGCTTTTTACTTCACATATTAGTGACAGGCAAATAATGTGTTGATACATATATTTTTTATATATTGAAACTGAGATATAGTGAAATAATACCAATAGCAACTGAGAATTAAGAAAATAAGTAGAATTAGGATTTTCTGTGGAAAACAAAGTTTTTTTTGCATGCTTGTAGGAATGGAGAACATAGGAACAAGAAGGTTTACTAGTACTTGCCTGCAAGTATTCCCCCCTCACTCTTTTGCACTGATCATTGACACTCATCTCAATGGCACATACAAAGCACCAAGTCACAAAGTGGGGAGTGGTGCCAGAAGCCAATTCCAGCATGTCATAATTGCAAGAGTTTCGTCAAAAGGTTGATGGAACTTGGGGACTCAACAAGGGCTGTCACATATGTTGTCACCTGTTGGGACAGGCTGAAAGCATTTCCTCAAACCTGAAAAGGATGCATTAAATTGTTTACTGCCAGACAGCTCAGGGCATCTTAATCTACATGTTATTGCCTCCTTCTGGCCAAACACCTGAACAGCTGATAGTCTATTCCACAATCTGACAATGCTTCTGTATAAACCCTACCCTTTGAACTATATATCTCCACCTTGCCTTAGGACAATTTGTGTCAATAAAAAGCAAGAGGTCCCGAGACAAGGAGAACATGGTTTCTTCAGCCAAGCTCCTCTGCCTCCCCCAATATGCCTTTCAAAATTATGTTTCCTCTTGGATGCTTATTTAATCTACGCCCAGTCTTCTCCAGATGGCTGAACCCTTCTAGATGCCGATCAAGATCCACCGGCATTAAATTGTGCCCAACTTCCAGCATTAGAGTGGTATTTTAAAACATGACAAATACTAATTTATGTCCTGATACCAATGAGGAGGAATAAGGGAAAATAGCTATAAAATACCTAGGGCTTTAAAATGGCTTATTTAATCTCTTCAATTAATTAATGAGGTGGTTCTCCTAATCTAGACATTATACAGACGTGATTCTCAGTGAAAAAATGCAAAGCAACACACAGCTAGTTCAATGACAGAATGGAGATTTAAACCCAGATCCACAGACCTCAGAGTTCATTTTTTCATGCTCTCTTGTGAATGTACAGATTTTAACAGGAGAAAAAAAAAAAAAAAAGAATTAACACAAGGGATAGATCCCTTTGAAAATAAGAAGGGGCGGGGGAATGAAAAACCCAAGAGGTAAGGATGACAACCTGTCACAAAGGTACAAAGTATCCATTTGCAATTTTTAACAATAAAGATCCTTAAAATTTTTTTATGTTTAATGACTATATTTAGCTAATGAGTACTGAGTGTTTTCTCATCACTAAGTCGAAAAATGACCACATGGTGGTGGTGTGGGAGGGGCAGGAGGAAGCACACACAGGGGAAGAGCAGAACTTGGAAGATTTCAATCTGCAAGGAAAAGACTGGTTTTTTTGGCCACACTGTATTTGCAATGTGTGGAATAATTTATACCCTTTATTTTTCTTATTCCTTACACCAACCCTATGATGTAGGTACAGTTATCAGCCACACATTGCAAAATGAAACACTGAGACTTTGGTCCTCTGAGTTCACACAGTCAGAGGTATCTGTTACATACTGTAAAAATAATAATCATAATAATCTACCCCTCTCTAAATCACTTTCTGAATTTGGTACCCACTTTTAAGCACCAAATTTTTCAAAATGATAATATTATGGGGGGAAAAAGTTTTCTTGTCGCTGTTCTGTTATTTTCTTTCCTTTCCTTTCCTTTTCTTTCCTTTTCTTTCCTTTTCGTTTCAGTGTTTTCTTTTCTCCACATCCTCTCAGCACTTGTCATTTGTTAATTTGTTGATGGTAGCCATTCTGACAGGTATAAAGTGATACCTCATTGTGGTTTTAATTTGCATCTCTCTGATGATCAGTGACTTTGAGCATTTGTTCATGTTTCTTGGCCATCTGTAAGCCCACTTTGGAGAAATGTCTATTTAGTTCCTTTGCCCATTTTTTAAATTGGATTGCTTGTCTTCCTTTTATTAAGTTGTATGAGTTCCTTATGTATTTAATATTAACTCTGGTCAAATGACAAATGCTGCTGAGAAACAAGGTCAACAGTAATTAATATAAATGCAAGAATTCTGGTCAGAAGGCTGTATTGGGCTCTTTGATATTCACAGAACAGATATCTGCATTTTATTACCTACTGCTGAACCAATGGCCTAAAGCAAACTCCCCCAACCTGATAATCTTACCATTTACTAAACAATCACCTTCATAGTTATTACAGAAATAAAATGAACATGTAGCTTGTCTTTTCATTTTGAATGTCAGTTTGTTTTGAAACATCAAAAGGAAACAAAATTATAAAGTATTAGATCTAAATTATACTCTAGAGCACATGTGTCAAACACAAGGCCCGCGGGCCAAATCCGTCCCGCCAGGCCTTGCAATGTGGCCCGCACCGCGCTGTCATCACTGCACTCCGCTGCGTTTCCATCACAATGACAGTTTATGACTGTTCAGTAAGCCATTCGGCCCGCGATTTAGGCTGGATTTTAGATTTTGGCCCCTTCTCTGATTGAGTTCGACACCCCTACTAGAGCTTTCTTCACACATTCTGTTCCCTGCAAGGTGCTAACAGCCCTATTGTGACAACAATCATGTTGTTTTTATATTTGTACCCTCATTACACAGTGCCTAGTTGCAGACACTCAAAAATGTTCACTGGTGAATGAGTGAACAAATGAATGGGAATAGAATAAATGGATCCCATCATTTCATTAAAGAACTTACAGAGAGGCTAAGTAAGGTCCTTGACATCACTCATTTGGTAAGTAGCAGATCAAGGTCTAGAGTCTGTTCAGATCTCCTGAATCCAAGAAAAGCTTTCAAATGTTTGTGCTGTGCTTCTGTAGTCAATGAGCTCTTAAGTTTAAAAAAAAAAAAAAAAGTGTCAAAAGCTGTCTCTCCTCTTCACTCATCTTCACTTTCATCTTAAACAACACAGCTTGAGATATTCAAGGAAGTGACATCCTATCTAATAAAAAGGTAATATGCTCTATCACATAAGATGGCTGCCCCCATGTGGACACAAGATGGCCATCACAAGATGGCCAGCAGGGGAGGGCAGTTGTGGGTGATCAGGCCAGCAGGGGAGGGCAGTTGGGAGGTATCAGGGCAGAAGGGGAGGGCACTTGGGGGTGATTAGGTCAGTAGGGAGGGCAGTTAGGGGTGACCAGGCCAGTAGGGGAAAGCAGTTATAAGGAATGAGGTTGGCAGGGAATTGGTTAGGGGGTGAATAGGCTGGCAGGCAGAAGCAGTTAGGGGCAATCATCCAGGCAGGCAGGCAGGCAAGCGGTTGGGAGCCAGCAGAACTGGGTTGTGAGAGGGATGTCTTACTGCCTGTTTATGCCTGATCCTACTGGGATTTTAGATTGGAGAGGGTGCAGGCTGAGCTGAGGGATACATTTCCACCCCTACCCCACCCCACATGCATTAATTTCACACATTGGGCCTCTACTTTTTATAAGAAATCTTAATTCTCTCAACTTGCAAAACTGAAAATCCAGATAATTCTAGATCATTTTTTCTGAGGGTAGTAGGTTTTTCTGTTCACTAGCTAATATAGCTCTATCAAGTGGTAGTAATGTAAACTCAGTTTTAAATTATGGCCCTTACAGAAACTAAGATGGTGGCTTAGGTGAACACCTGAAACTGCTTCCTCACACAACCACTTCAAAACTACAATAAAAGAAAAACGAACATCATCCAGGACCACAGGAAGGCTGGCTGAGTGGGAATTTCACAACTAAAAGGGAAGAGAAAAGCACACTGAGACTGAGAGGAGGTGCAGAAGTACAGTGCACAGGTAAGAAGGCACGCTTGTGGAAAAGGCTGGCAAGGGAGTACTTGGTTGTCTTTTTTAATCATCGGGGAGACAAAAGCTCCTGACTGCTTGTACTCCAGTTCTGCACAAGACTTTGGGGATCAAGACTCATACAGGGAGAAACTAGACTGTCTGGCATCTGGTGGAACTTGAGGGCAGCTTTCTCTCAGAGGTACATGCAGCAATTAC